AGCCAGCCATCCTGGAGGAGAGCTTTGGAGGGAGGACACCAGAAAACGCACCACCTCTTCTCACAGCCCATCCAGAACGGCCATCACCACTGGCCAGGCTACTCTCCTGTGGTCCTGGAGCCGGGCAGGCACCGCCCTGCAGGCCCCCGGCCTGGCCCGTAGTTGGTCCACCTGTGCAGACGCTACGCCCTTCCTGGCTTTCCCTCTCCTTCCTATCTCAGGGCTTTGCTCAAGTCCACCTCTTCCCATGAAACCTATCAAAGTCCCCTAATTCGAACATCCAGGCACACTTCTTGGACCCCTGCTGTCTCTACTGCCATTCAGGGGTAAACATAGCATGACCGTGACTGTGAATCTCCTCGCCATATCCTCTCCTCCCTGGGTCCTATAGGGTGGGGTGCTCAAAGGCAAGGGTGTCATCTTCTCTGTCTCTTCCTCTTCCCAGGGGAAGCCTGAAGTCCTGAGCTTACAGATGCTCAGGAATTCTGAAAGGACCCCTGACTGAATAAAAATTGAGGAGCAGAGGGAGGTTCACGAAAGTTTGGCCTGTCACTGCAGAATGTCTAATGTAGGCGAGAAAGCAAGACTCTCCATCCAGTTCCTGGGGCAAGGGCTGGATTTGTATTTGAAATGTAGTTTCCAAAGAATGATTTAAAAATATTCAGGCTATGCTCAGCTTTCTTATGGGGAAGCTTGAAAGCTTTCACAGGAGCAAAAGCCACCCAGAGGGTTAAGGTCATCTCGAAGATGAAAAGTTGAAGACAGAGCAATCATGTGCAGGAGGCACTAACCACCTTCCCGGAGGTAGACCCCAGCCCAAATTCCCACCTTACAGTTCTCCCAGAGGCTAGGAGCCCTCAAATGAACACCATCCCTGCCCATCAGCAAAACGCAGCAGCTACTGCAGCCAGCCTTCCTCCAGTTCCAAACCTTTTCTCCCCCAAGTCCCCCAATCTCCAGGAATTCCAGTGCTATTCAGTTTCACTCAGAAAGCTGAATATTATCATACAAAACACAAGATTACAAGAGGTACCTTAGGCTTCAAGGTGCCTTGGCTACCAGGAGGACTTGCAGTCCTGAGTTGAGGGAGGCCTGAGCTCCCCACACTATGGCAAATGGGGATGAGACCATGGCGCCATACCCTGGAGGAAGGAAAGCCAATTTGGCGTGAGGATGAGATGGGTATGGAGATGCACGGGCACTGCTGCTAACCTTTCACGAGGACCGTCCTGGCCTCAGCCCACTCGCTCCTCCCGTCTGACGTCAGCAGGCCGATTGGAGGCAAGCGTTCATCCTCGTTGGAAGCCATTTTGACTATCTTTCTCAACTGAGTGAACAGATCCCCCTCACTGAGACGGCGGAAATTAATGACAACATCCAAGACAAAGAACTGTGGGGGAAACAGGTCAAATACATCACTCTTGGCAGCTGGCCTCACGTGCGAGGCTTTTACTGAACCTTCACATGTGAACTCAGAACAGGGCTCATGTCCAAGGTCCCCAAGGTATGTGGAAGTTCTGAATAGGCACCATTTGGGGAACCAACCCAATGCTGTTGACTGTTCTTGACTCCAAGCTGACTCAGTGCAAAAGGCCAGATAAACTCAGCTGAAACAAAACTTGTTCTGTGATCCCTAGTTAATGTGAAACCATTATGTTGTGGGGAATTGCATATAAATTGATAAAAAGCTGTTGGAGAGCATTGTCTATCAGAACTAAAAATGTGCATACCCAGTGACTCAGCAACCCACTTAAATGCACGCCTTTGCCTAAGGCTTAACGAAACGTATATCTTTGTGCCTGCAAGACATATAAAGGAATGTACACATCAGCTTTGCTGGCAACAGCAAAATGGTAGGGCCTGAATGTTCATTAATAAGGAACCAGCTAAGTCAAATACAGTGGACTCAGTCAGAGCATGTCACTAAGCAGTGAAAAGGAATGAGTTCATTCAGATACAGGGATCGATCTTAAACATAATGGGGCGTGGTGAAAAAAACACAAGTCTGTAAGTAACATGCAAAGGAAGATTAAAATGGAAAATAATACACACAGTGTTCTATGCATGTGTGTACATACATAGGTAACTACATGTGCGTTGTATGTAAAGCCTGAGCTGTCATTGGAAAGCTTTGAACTCTAGAGCCTTGGGCTTTAGCAAAGGGTCTTATTCTTAAGTCAGGTCCTTCTTCAGCTTGGTGACATGAGTACCTGGTCCCACGCTCTGAGCAGCGTATATGTGGCCTTGTTGAGAGCAGGATCCCTGAGTGTTTCTGGGTGGAATGGGTACAGTGGTGTGTGAAGATAGGAGATGCGGGGCTTAACTTTTGAGTGAAGATGGGGACAATTTCTCATGTGGAAGCTGGCTAGTCAGGGTGTCAGTGGGCTCCACATTTGGGAATCACCACGCTCAGATGACAGAATTTCCTGAACATCCAGCATAGACTGAAAAAGTGAGATAAACCCACAAAATATTTTCCACAAAGAAAATATTGTAGAATGAATACCAGAGGAGTTGGTGGGGTGAATTCAAACTTGGGTTTCAGCAGAAAACAAAAAAAAAATTTTTTTTTTGTCAGATAAAATATTTATGTGGAGTCTCATTAAGTAGAAAATACAGTGTGGTGGGTACTAGTAAGGTGTTGGAGCCCTGACATTCAGCCTGTTGCCTGTCCCCCATGGGCATTTGCTGGCTCCCTGGTACCCACTTTGAAATCCTGAGCTGAGGGGTTGGAGCATGGGTTTGGGTCGTTGGTCAAACCGAGAAGTTCAACCCCCATTAAATAAGCTGCGTAACTTGCCTAAGTCTCATTCCCTCCTCTGTTGAGCAGATTCCAAGACCCGCTCTGCAGGCTCATTGTTGGGCTAGAAGAATTTATGTAGGTGCTGAGCCCACGGCCTGGACAAGGAGGTCCCAGCAGGCCGCCCGTAAAGCTGACTGTCTGTCTGTGTGTGATCTCCAGGAGGAGAGCTGGGTGACTGCCGGTGGGGGCACTGAGGCCATGCTGGGTCTCATTAGTGGCCCTTGGTCCATCCAAGCAATTTTTTTGATGTGACCCGGCTGGTTAGGGCTGAAACAGGAGCCCAGTGGATCATTCTCAAGGCTTGTTCTTAAAGCCAACCCATGGAGATAAATGGGACCCACTGGATGTCAGGAGACCCCAGCTCACCACACGACTCTGACAGAGGCCTGAGCGCCCCTGGAGAAGCAGGGATGGAAGAGCACACATGTGCCCTCGGGGGGCAGGCAGCAGGGGCAGCTTACCTGGTTGCCACAGGCCACGATGACGTGCTCCGGCTCAGGCATGACACTGCTCTTCTGGGCCACCAGTGTGTCCTGGGTGTGGCCAGGCAGCCGGTAGGAGGAGAAGAGCCCATAGTATTGCTTCATGCAGAGGGGCTGCCCTGACAGCTGGCCCTTGGCACAGTCGGCGGGGATGGAGTGGCTGGAGCGGGGTGCAGGGGTGAAGGCAGAGAATCAGAATTGGTTCTACTGTAACTTGCTTAGCAAAGCAGGGCACAAAACAACGGCAACTGAAGGGCTCAATTTCTCAATTTGCTTAAGTTTCAGAGGGTGCAGAGTGGCCCATGGAAACCCTTGTTTTTGTTTTTGTTTTGTTTTGTTTTGTTTAAAGATTTATTTAATTATGCATACAGAACTGGGGCACAAGCCAGAGGTGCGGGGCAGTGAGAGCTTCCCCAGAGACATAGTGGGGAGCAGAACAGGCAGATCTACGAGATACTCTGCTGAGGGGGGCAGCAAGTGGGTCAGGAGAGGTCTGCTGCCCATGTGGGTCACCTCTGGGGCCGAGGATCGAACTTGCACTGAAAGGCTGCCGCCAGCTTGCAGTGCTGCGTCCTAACCCATTGCACCACTAGGGAGGGCCTGGAAACCCTTGGTTTTTCTCCAGTTCCCTCACTCCGCTTACCCCTACCTCATGCACTAATGTGCAAGGCTTACCAACTGAGCCCTCTGTGCCTCTGTTCGTGCTGACTTTTCCTTAGCATACCTGCACTCACTCACCTAATTTGTTTAGAAAATTCCTTCTCCTACTTCAAGAGTCTATTCCTTTCTTACCTCTTCTAGAAACCTCCTCAGAATTCAAAGCAGAAAGCTGTCTTCCTCCAGCACTGTCAACAGGGCTGTGGAGCTCTGCCCCTCTCCCCCGGCCCCCTTTGCCCTCCTCCTTTTTCTAGTGCCCAAGGCCCTTTGGGGTCTCATTAATGCCCCACAGCCCACCCATAACCTCCTGCCCTCCCTCCTTTCCTCTCCTCTTTCATCTCTGCTTCCTCCTTCTCCCCACCTTTCCCCTCCTCCCCCATCCCTTCCATTCTTTTGATCAGCAAGTGTTTATTAGCACCCCTCTACACAGGCACCATTCTGGGGTCTGAGAACACAGCATCAAGCAAGACAGGAGTTTCTTGCTCCAGTGGACTGAGGTCCTAAGATGTGTAGGTGGGACAGAGGCCACAAGCAACACACAGCTGGGGAACAGGAGGGCTGCAGGTGGTGGGACAGGGTAGCAGGACAGGGACTGGCAGGAGCCAGAGGAGGTGGGCAGAGATGGTCTCACTGAGGTCCAGACTGTGAACTGAGGCCTGAGGGCCAGAAGCAGCATGAAGGCGGCCTGGGAAGATGTAGGCCCAGAGGCGGGCCAGGGGGGCATCCCACAGTCTTGTTGCCAAAGTGTGGGTGTCAGACTGAACGGCAGGGTAAGTGTGGGAATCCAGAGGGAGCTCTCAGAAACTTTAGTAGCAATTTGGCAGAGGAATGTCCCATCTGTTGAAGCTAATAATAAAATGCGGTCTTTGTACCTTGGTACCATTTCTGTAGAGTTTTACAGATACTTCACAAATAAAAAATATATTGTTCTTTCACCAAAGTTCATTTGAAAATACTGCTCCACGGTGAAAAAGAAGCCTGTGGGGTTGAAGGCGAAGAGAGGGAAGGCGGAAGGTGGAGGAGGCTGTGGCAGCCAGAGGGGCCTGTTTCTGGGAGGGCACTGGCCAGCAGGGGGTGACTGGATTTGGTTGCTGTAGTGATCCTGATGTGTGTGGAAGGGGCCGAAGAGGGTGGCGGGCACAACAGGAAGGAGGTTTTGAGGCCACCAGGAGGGGAGGTGAGTTCTGCAGGTAGTGACTGCCCAGGAACACAGATAGTGGCCAGGGGAAGAGAGGAGATGTGGGCAGCTGGACTTACCGACCTGGAACGTATTAGTGTGACTAGAGATGGCAAGACAAGGTGAGAGGCGAGCCTGGGGGATGGGGTGTGGAGAGCTGGGCCCAAGGCTCCACCAGGGAGCTCCACAACTGGGACACACCCCAGATGGCAGTCTGGGTTCTGGGTGCAGGACAATTGAGTGTGGGGCTTGGGGAGGAAACAGAGCTGATTGCGTTGTTTATCTGTCTTTTTTGGCACAATAGTCTGAGAAACTTTTGAAAGCCAAGATGAGGACTGTTGGTCTTCCCAGCATTAGTGACACTGAAAAGTGAATGAATGAGTGAGTTAAACATCCAAAGTGGGAAGCTTGGGCAAATGTCCCAGCATTATGTTCCAACATTCCTTCAACATGGGAAGCTGGGGCTCTAGCCTGTCAGTCATGGAAGGGCCCAGTGGACCGGCCTGTGCCCTCCCTCTTCCACTGTCCTGCTGGAGTGCTGTAAGGAAACGAAGTTCTTTGAAATCACGGTTGAAAACTCCACAGGAGTGCGTTCTGGAGGGGCAGGGCACAGCCAGCGAGGAAGTGACACTACAGAAACACCACGAGGAGAGAGCACCTGAACTGTCTGGGGCCCCTCGGGGCTAAGAGAAAAAAGCCTGAGAGTGTCTGGGTCAGAAATGCATAGTCCGGCCTGCTGTGTGCCTGCTGAGGCGGAGGGCTTCATGTATCACTCAGAAGACATTCCAGGAGCCTGGTAAGGTGGCTGCCACTGTGACTCCGCTGGACGGACTGGCCAGTAGAGCGAGGAGAGACCACTACCACCCCAAACTGTGGGGGTCTGAATTCTCACTCGGGTCTGCTGACCCCAGGGTCATTCTTCTCCTTGTGTTTGGGGGCCCTGCCCCCTCCTCTCCAAAGGGGATAGTCCTTCCCGGGAGGGCTGAGGGTCTAGGCCTCTGTCCTGAGCTGCGTAAGATGGAGTTGGAGCAAGTTGAAAAGAGTGAAAGTCTCCCTGAGTGCCTTCCTCACCCTGCCACCTCCTGGCTGAGTGACTTCGGAGAAGCCACTTAGCCTCCCGAGGCTTAGCTACTTCTGCTCTGCGAAGGACACTGCCTTGGGCTTCTCTCTCTCATTCCTGTGTCTGATGCTCTTAGTTTCTGCCTCTGAGGACCGTAGGTCTGCTGGCTCTCCCCAAGTTCCTGGAAAAGCTGGGGCTTGGAAAGAGGCGGTTTCTTCCCTAAAGTCACTATGCCCATGCAGGTCCCCTCCTCTGGCAGGACCTCCTGAGTCATCCTTTCCTTGAGCTTGGTGGGCTTGAGGAACAGCTCGAGTGGAGGGACCGTTCCCCTCACATAACAAGTAGCATCTGGCTCCACTGCCCTTCCTTCACCTTCTGGTGTGTTCTCTGGATTTCTGACACACTCATTTAGCACACATGATGCAGGAGGGGGAATTTTAGAGATATCAAGGAAGGACAGTGTTTACCCAAAGAAAAGGAACTGCCATAGTTCAGACTGGTTGGGGCAAAAGTCATCTTGAGGCTGGGGAACAGGAGGTGGAGCTGGGTGAAGTGCTCTGTGACTGGAGTTAAGATCCCTTCCTCCAGGAGCTCCTTGTCCAGTGTGGCAGGGAGGCAAGCTGTGCCAGTGCAGGGCACCCCACTATGCGTCCCAGGCTGGGCCCAGGCCTACCTGTCCAGCAGAGCCTTGTAGTTAAGCACACCAGAGATGAGATTGGCTGCAAATCTGCAGAGAGATGAGGCTTCAGTTTTCCCCTCAGGGACCCAGATCCACACCTCACCCCACCCTACACTCTCTTCAACTTATCCTCCCCTCCTCCCTCCACCTTCCCAAATGCAGTGATTATCCACCAGGTGCCAGGCCCGGGAGTGCTAATCGAATGGGGTTCCCTTTGCCCTCACCCCTCAGTCCTTCACAAGCTTTGGATTTAAAGTGTCCAGTGGAAAAAAGGGGTAGGGAGGCAAAGAAACTGGAAGCTGCATGGGGAGAGATGGGAGGAGTGAGAGGAGGCCTGGGAGAGGGCTGGATGGTCAGGGTTGGGGTTTTCCCAGAAAGGCAGCGTTGCTGGACTGTGCTAGTACCCCTGGGGTTCAGGGAAATCCAGTCTCCTGGGGAAAGTCAATAGTGTGTCCCCCTTACTGCTAGGGGAAAGGAAAGCAGGTGTGTGTGTGGGGGGGTGCCCCGAGAACTGTGCCAAAGGAATGTGCCATCGAAACTGTCTGTGTGATAAGTCGTGGTTAATTGCATTGGGAATAAATTGTCCCCTCTGACACTTTGCATCAATGCTGCTCACCCTTACACTCTCTTCCTTCATCCAGGTAGGCCACAGAGAAGGGGAGCTGCCCAACCAGCAGGAAGGCGGGGACTTCCAGGCATAGCTAGGTCCTGCCCAAATGGCAAGGTTGGCCCTGATCCTTGTTTCATTTTCCTCCCTGACAGCTGCCCCTCCAGTGTACCCCATGTGGGTCTGGGATCTGGGTTTGATGCGGCAGGGAGACCCTTCTGCCCCAACCCGAACTCAACGCCTGTGTAAATGGCCCTCTAACGTCATCAGAGCGCCCAGAGACCATTCCAGCGGCTCAGTGAGCTCTGAAATTGCAGCAGATGGCAGAGGCTCTGGCGGCTGTGGCTGATGGATAGGAGACATTTCCACCCCTGGAGCCTCCCTTTAGAGCTGGGGACTCAGAGGCCCTCTCAGCCTGGGGCGGTTTGTCCCAGGGGTGGGGATACCAGCCAGAGCAGGGGAGACACCCTCTCGCCAGGGCCTCAGCCAGATCAAGACTGCCACGGGGACACCGAGGGCTTCTTTCCCTGGCCCTGGGTCCCATTAGTGCCGCCCCTTTATTCTGAGGCAGACTTCACATTGGTCACTCACATTCAGCCTCTCCCCACCTCCCTCTGGCCTCATGACCTGGATGGCTGCTGCTGTCTCGGGGCCACTTGGCCTCAGAAAGCTCAGCTGAGACACAGTTTGGCCTCTCTGTCTGGGAGGAGGGTCTGGGTCCCCGCCCCAGGATGGAGTCCCAAGCTGCCATCCCAGGCACTGTGCCTCACCTGAGCTGGTCATTGGTGTCTCGGAAGTGCTGCCGGGCAAAGATCACAGCCGGGCTGGAGTTGACAGGCAGAGCCAGGCGGTTATTGAGATACATGTCATTAAGCCAGTATTCAGATACCTGCGGGCAAGGCAGGGCAGGGGGGCCATGACTCACACTCCAAAGTCCCTGCGTGTTTCCCAAAGGGCACCTGCCTGCGGAGAGCACCCGTCCCCAGGGACAACTGGGACATTCATTGCATCGCGTTCCTTTTTCAGTCACCCGCCCCACAAACACTGAGCCTCGGAGAGGGGCTGGGATCCAAGTGCTCCCCAGTCCACCTGCCTGTCCTGCATCTTTGCACTAACCTGTCACCTTTCTTGCACCCCAGTTTCCCATTCTGGCTACTTGGTGCAGCACCCCTGTCCGCCCCCTGCCTGTGAGTGTCCTGTTCCTGCTTTTCATCCCACTCTGCTTCCCTGCCCATCTGTACGCGGCACTCCCCCACACACACACCGGGGTTGCTCCCATCCTTCCCCCACTGTCCCTCATCTGGTCTGCACCTCAGCTTGCCCCTTCTGTCCTCCTGTGTCCCTCTCATCCTACGCCCCATTTATCCCATCTCTGCTGCTCACCTGCCCCTTTTCTAGGTCTGTCTCATGTCTGCCTCCTACTCCTGCCTCATGGGCCCTGTGCCTGCCTCTCCCCGCAGCTCTTACCCAGTTAGCTGTCTTCTCCTGCCGCTCCAGGAGCTTCTGCTGCAGGGTCTCCCCCAGGCCACCTGGGGCCCCAAACTGCTGCACGATGGCCTGGCTCCTTCGGAACTGGTCCTCGGACACCAGGTGCTGCATGCACCGCAGGTACGTGGCCAGGGTCTGCTGCAGTGGGGGCACGGGAAGCTTGGGCAGCTCCTGAGAAAGAAGTGCACCATTTTGGGGGGTCTGTCTTTATATGTGTGCCGTGTGTCCCCAAGTTGTCTCCAGGGTCTACTCCATCCTTGTTTCCCTCTCTGGGACTCATCTGTTTCAGGGCCCAGTTCAGCAGAGTTATGAACTTAGGAAACTCCTGCTTGCTTAATCTCCTGTCCCAACTCTGCCCCAGAAGGGGACAAAGTGCACAGGAAAAGACCCCAGTGCAGGGAGCATGTACTGACTGGAGTGTAACCTTGAACAAATCACCCTTACTTCTGCCTCAGTTTACTCTTATGTGAAATGAGGGCAGTCACTTCTACTTCTTATAGGAGCAAAGAGATCATGATGTGGATCTCTTTTTATGGGGTTTATAAGCATAAAAATGTAAGTCTAAGGTAAAATAGCTCTGTTATTGATATTGTTGGCTATGGGTCACTCTTAATTTAGGAACTGTTCTCAGCTGGTGTTCCAGAAGCCAATCGATCTCTGGACCCAAAGAGTGTGACGTTAATGGAGAGATCTGACAGGTGAAGGATGGTTTTGGGTGGGAGGCTTAGTTCATTGCTGCCCTAAAGAGCAGAATTCTACAAGATGTTTTCTGGGGTGACTCATGCCCTGGGCTCCTTATTAAATACCAGGTTATGAAACTGGGAGAGTCTTCTGTTCTCAGTGGGCATGGTGTGGGGGTGAGTGGGGAGCAGTGAGAGGGTATGGTAGGAATTCTTCTCTCCCTCTCTCCAAACCTCAGCTTCCTCATCCTTGGGGCATAAATAACAAGTCCTGCCTAAGAGGGTTACAGAGTGGATTAAATGAGAGAAATAACTGGTCCCAAAAAGACACATCATAAAATGTCATGCTGTTACTGCTCTTATCCTTCCAGAGGGATTCCCAAGAGGAAACCCATCATGTCTGGGGACCCCCAAAGTGTAGACAATGCCTAAATAGGACTCCCCACCAAGACCTCCTGTCTGGGCCCCTACTTCCCAGTTTACCAGCTGTGATCACACAGGGATCCCTCCTGTGTGTTCAACAATCTTATGGCTAACCTGTGTAGGTATTTTTAATCTGTTTACAGATGAAGAAATTTAAGCCCAGAGAGTGGAAGACTAGTCAGAGATCACCCAGGAATTTGCTGGCAGAGCTGGGAGCTGAAGTCAGTTTTCACTCAGCATGTGTTCTGCTCCTTCCTCCTTGTTGTTTCCTCCTTTCCCCTAGCACATTTTCCAGACCTTGGTCTTTCTTCTTCCTCAATAGCTGACAGTGGGAAATCATAACTTTGCAGGTTATCATTTATATTTGCAAAGTTGCATGGGGTCCACCTCTTTCAAGGGTTTCTGCTCCTTGGGGTGGCTGGGTGGGGAATGTTCACCCTGGCGGGCTGCTGCGTGAGCTTGACTCCTGCTTCTTCCAAGGCTGGAGCTCCCAAGGCAGCCTCAGGCAGACAAACAGCAAGCGTGCTGATGAGTAGAAGGGAATCCTCCACCTGTCTGAGCCTGTCTCTAGAGCACACTCCCCTAAGGGGAGGGAGGAGGTTTCAGTGCCAACTCTGGGCTTCCCCACCCTGAGGAACACTTGAGGATGGGTCTGGGCAGCACTCCAGGTTGCCCGGACCAGCCCCAGAGAACCAGCTGCCCCCACCCACTGCTCTGGTTTCCTCTTTCTTCTCTTGGGCCTAAGAGTCCATGGGATGTGTGACAGGTCTCACAAGGGAAAGCCCAGCCTAACTGGTTAAGAGTGTCAGCAGATCTGGCTGGACCCCTTCCAGAAACAGACCACCCTTTTCTGGAGCTTTGCCAGTGTGCTGGGACTAAGTCTGGGTCATAATCAGGTAACAGGTAAAAAGGAACAAGGCAGAAAGGACATTCCCACCCAGATAGCTCAGATCTAGGGCTACTCCCCAGACTCTGGGCTTCTAAGCCAGGAAAGAGGAGGATGTTTGAACCCCTAAGGTCCCAGGTCAGTGCACAATTCCTGGGAAGTTGGTATAAGCCATGGCTCAGGGCAGGGCTGGGAAACAACAGCGACAGGGTCAGCTCTCAAAGAAGCCACTGTCCCGTGGGAGGCCCATGCCTTGAATCAGAAGCAGCCACAAAAGAGCTTGTCAACTGCAAAGCTCCAGAGGAAGTGGTGAGTACTCCATGGGGAGAAGCCAGGAAGTTCTCAACAGGGGTTCCAATGAAGCCTTGAGGTGGGAGGGGCAGGAACCAGGGTGACGGGAATAAGCAGGTAGCAAAAAGACAGGTGTGGCACAACAAGCTGGGTCAGGTGTGCTGCTCTTCCCACTGGAAAGGGGCAGGGGTGAGAGAATGCCCAGCCAGGAGGGTTAGTGTTGCTCAGTCAGCGAGGAAGATGGTCCCTAAAGCCTCGGGGCTGAATGAATGAGGAAGCTGGAGCTGGGGTGTGACAAGGCCAGAGTGGGGGTTCAGCCTCATGCTAGGGCAGAGCTATTGGAAATGGAAGTGGGAGCAAGAGGAGACCCCCCAGAGAAAAGGGCCTACCTGACCCTGGCCTTGGGGATAGGGACTGTGGTGGTCAGCATTCCTTCAACAGCCCCCCTCCAGCCCCTCCCAGCATCTCCAGACCCTCCTGAGTTCCTCAACAGTTAGAGCAGGACCTCACTCTTCACAGGGGAGTGGTGTGAAAAGCTGTGGTCCAGTCCTACTAGGGTATATTCTAGAAGCAAATGCATATGAGTAGGGAGAGTAGGATGCCTGAAAGGGATCCAAACGTCACTCACGGGCTCCTCCTCACTGCTAGAAGATTTTGCCACCATCTTATGGTTTTTTTTTTCCAGGATGGGCATCTTGGTGACTGCTGGCTGGGGACCACACAGGATGCAGACCTGGGGACCAAGAAGGAGGCAGGCATCAACACAACCACCACAGAAACCTGCCACAAACACTTCACCTCCCACAATCTGACATCTCGCCCCACCCCACTCCTGCCCATTGAGGCCTGGAGGAGGCCTAAGCTGGTCTGCAGTGTACCCAGGCCTCAGGCTGGCCTGGTGCCAACCTCCTGCCCTCCAGATCAGCCTCACCCTCACCACAATGTCCTCTCTGAGCCCCCAAATGGGAGATGGTATGGCCTAAAATGAGCCTCTGGCTGGCACCTGTTCCACAGGACTGCTATCCCCAGGCTCAAATGACCACTGCAGGGCAGCTTGAGAAGGAGCAGGCTTGGGTATGCCCAGTCAGAATCTACCCAGGATCACTGGTAGAGCACTTGCTTGATCCTGTCTGGGACCCAGTAGACATGTGTTGGTTGACTAAAATCAACCAGTGAGCTTCTCCAGAGCAAGACCAAATCTTCTCTATTTGTGTTCAGGGCTTCATGTCCCGGACCTAGCTCTGCAGCTACTGTGGAGTAGGGTCAGGGTTGGGCAGCTCAGCAAGAGGGCTGCATGAGTGTGTGCTGAACATCCACAAGGCCCGCGAAGGCTCTGGGTCCTGGACTGGGTGGGCATCTGGACTGTGACGAGGCTGGGGGCAGGCAGTGACTTGAGCAGTGTCTAACCTGGAAGAGCCCAGACTAGCTGTCATGGGAATGCTGAGGGAGCTAGAACAGGGCAGCTGGGCAGTCCAGGAGCCTGGGGGGCACCTGACTAACCTGGACAGAGTTGGGTCAATTCTCAAGGTGCAGTAGGAGTGGAGCAAGATGAGCATGGTGCCACGAGGGGCAGAGGCCAGGTTTCAAGGCTAGTGGGGCCCGCTCCCCTCAGGCATAGGCCTGGGGAGGCACTTCTCAGTGATTTCCATGTACGCATAGGCTCTTTTCTCCCAAGAACCTAAAGCTGTTGCTTAGTCCATTGCACTACCCCACCCTACCCTGTCTCCCACTTCAGGCAGGCAGAAGCCAGCTGGAAGTTAGGCAGGAGGCACAACTGACCCAAGGACAGAACATCCAGAAAGGTAAATGAGCTAAGCCCTGAGGCAGAGAACCTGGGGCTGCTGGCAGTGCTGGACAGAGACTGGAAAGCCTTCTCAAGCGCCAGACTGCTCCAGACCAAAGGGTCTCCAGATCCTATGCTCCTGCACACTGGAGCATAGGGGTCACCCGACCACAAATGGGAAGGGGGAGCCTCCAACACATTCTTGTGTTGAGGCTTGAGGAGGCAGTGAGGGCAAGGTCAGGTGAAGGTCCCGGAGACAGCGCTGCTGACGTCTCTCTTGCTCCTGTCCCAAGCCAGTTCATAGCAAGACACTAGGTAAGCCTCTGGGACCCCATGCCTTGAAGAGGTGCAGGATTGCAGTGGGATGGTTTCCAGGAGGGCGAAGGAGAGGGTGCGGTTCCCCACCCTCCAGCCAGCTCCTCTTCCCCCTTGGCTCTTGGGTCAAGTGCGTAGAAGGTGTTATGCTTGTTCCTATCATTCTGCCAGTCCCCAGTACACCTGTGACCCTCTGATCCATGCTCACACCCATGCTCATGCCAGCCAGGCTTCTGAAGGCTGATTGAAGGGGTATCTGCTCTGCCCATCTCAACCTTTGAGGCTTTTCCAGTCCGCTCTAGGGATTCCCTGGGACCAGGCTCCCACTTGCCACTGAAAGCCCCTCCCCACTTCTCTCCTCCCTCCTCCCACCTGCGCAAGAGTCAGAGAGGCAGGTGCTATGCCTGCACTTCAGGGAAGTGCACTTATTTGGAAATGGGGAACCCTCTGACAGCCGACGTTGGCACCCAGCATATGGGGGTTTAGGAGAAGTAAGAAAGCGAACGTGTAGCCGTGGAGCCCTAACGGCCAAGCTGTACCCCAACTTCTCATCTTTCAGCTCTCCCGTCCCACTGGCCCTTCTCTAGGAGGGGAACCACCCGAGCCGCGGAATCCTGCGGTCTCCAGACTCCCCCCCGACGACCGCTGCCTTTCAGAGCGTAGAGGTCTCAGCGGATCCTGGAGCCTCTGGGTCCGCGCGGTCGCTGGACAGAGCCTCCCCCTTCGCTCCCCGCTACGCGCGCTCCAATCCCCGCTGCGCTCCGCCAGCCCAACCCTTACCTGCTCTCCTCCGCCGAGCCGCCTGGGCCGCTTCTGTGCTGCACCGAGTACTGGGGCTGCAAGCCGGAAGGGATTTCGGGGGGGTGGGGGAGTTGGGAGGGCGGGTCAGCAGTGCGGGGGTGGGGGCTGCTGCCTCCGTCGCAATGGAGTCCCCGCCGTCTGCCGACTGGCTGAGAGCAGCCCGGCCGCGCCTGTTCTCTCCTTCCTCCCCCCCCCTCCTTTTTCCTCCCTCGCCCAGCCCCACCCCATCTCTTTTCCTCTAGGTTCTGTGTCGCGCCGCCCCCACCCACCCCTTACCCTCACCTCCGCCACCAACCCTTGCCTTTTCCTGAGGTCCCACTCCGGGTCTCTTGTCTCCTACTCAGACGGCTTCCCCGACAAGCTCTTACTAGAGCAACGGAATCCAGGCGGGAGAAAGGGGTGCAGAACACTTTGCTGCCCATTCCAAGAGCTCCCGCCCCCAGCCCATCCTTCCCGGTGCCTACCTTCCTCGAATCCTATTATCCTCATGAAGCTGTGACTGAAGAATACTGGGGAAGGTTAGTTCTGGAGAAATCTGTGCCCTCCCCACCGTCTAAGGCAGGCTCAAATCCTATGACGATCTGATCTTCAACTCCTTAAAAAAAATTTACAACTAACAATAGTGATCATTAAAAAAAGGAAATGTTTGCTGATCACTACAGATCCTCCCTTCTTTTCTTTCCCAGCCTTTTTCTTGCTGGAACTATTGGGGAGAGGGAAATAGAGACCTGGGGATGCTTAGGGACTCATTGCCAGAGGCAGACATTCCTCCCAGACAAAAGCGCTCTTCCCTCCCCTCCTAGATCTGCATGCTGGCACACACGTAGGCAGCCCCTGCCCAGATAACACCCTCACAGCCAGACACTCAGACAGGACACCTCGGCAGTGCCCTGCAGACACCAACACGGTGGCTTCCAATCCAGAGTACTCGGTGGCTATCAGCAGGCCCAGGTTCCAGACTGGGAGTGGCACCTGCACTCAGGTCTAGGAACTGGGAACCCACACTCTAGGCGGGGAATCTTCATCAACTGGATGGCTAAGGACAGAGTAGGGCTGTGGGTTAAGTGGTGGAGCATTGGCACTAGCTCCTATCCATGCACACTCGCCAGCCCCTATTTAAACCAGCACTCAGACCTGCACAGCAGAGACACACAAAACACACCAACTGTCCCCCACTCACAGTGGGAGAGAACTTAGCTCTCTAAGGAACAGTTTCCAGACACGCAGAACAGCTCAGCCTCTATTCTTCAGGCTGCACTGGGCAGATGCCACTCCCAAGGAAGCCGGGCCTGGGAGATTCAGAGCGCAGTGGCTGATAGTGCGGGCTTATTCTCAAAGGGTGGTGCCTAGAGCATCGGGAAGGGCGGGCTCCCCCGGGCGGTGCTTTGGGGTGCTGCTCTGACCTGGGAGAAAAGGACTGTGGAGCCGAAGGGTGTGTGCCACCAAGGCGCCCAGTGGGTGAGAGTCCTTGTGGGTTATCTTCTTTTATAACTCCCTTTCCAGGTAACAAAAGAACCCCGACTGCCTGCCCACCCACCACTCAGACCTAGATTGGAGCTATACCCAGCTCAGCCGCCTTGGCCTTATGCCCGCCACCCACCCCCTCCAGTAAAGAGACTCCTCTGGTCTCGGCACATACAGTTTATTAATTCGGGAAGAAGGCACCGCGGTGCAGCGGGCCAAGTTGGCACTGGCAGGAAAGAAAGGAAGGACAGAAAGGCGCACGACTCTATACAGGGGAGCCCAAGGCATCAGCCCGCGCGTCTCTTAGTCTCTGTCAGGAGCGAGCTCATCGCTGTGCGTGCTTCCGGCACCACCAATCCCTGGGACAAGAGAGGGGTGGAACACAGAGGGGGGCTTGGAGAGAGTTGGGGCAGGGGAAGTCAAGACAGGGGAGGCTCTGGGGTGCTCGCTGGAGGGAACGGCGTCTTAAACCTGAGCTGGTCAGTGCGCTCACAGAGCAGTCACCTTGACCCCAGGGCTGGGAGATTGGTGAGCGGCCCGGAGGAGGAGCGGGACGGCTAACTTCGGGTGTAGTAGTCGTTGTAGTCGTCCTGGCATTCATCAAAGGGACCAGGCGGGCTTCGCGGCCCGCTGTCCAAGCCTGGTGCGGTGCGCTCACGTAGGCGCACCGCATCGTACAGACCCTGCGGTGGCTCATCTAGCAGCACGTCGCGCTCGGAGCGGGAGCGTGTCAGGAGGCTCACGTTGCGCAGCAGCAGCAAGACTGGCGCATAGAGCAGGTTGGCTAGGCCCATGCCAAGGCTGAGCTGAGCAAAGCCAAGCGAGTGCACGATGTGGCCAGCCACAATGGGCCCTAGCGCGTAGGCTACGGAATAGGAGATGTCGGCGATGGCGTAGACGCTGCCATAGACCGAGACGTGGCGCACGTCCACGAGGAAGGCGAGCGTGGGCAGCAGCGCTGTATCCACCAGCGCAATGCCAAAGCAGAGGCCGCAGAGCGAGACCACTAGCGGAGCGAAGGAGCTGCAGGCAGGCACCACGCACGAGCTGGCTCCTATCACTGCCAACCCGAAAGCGCCGTACAACCACTGCAGGTGCGGGTAACGCGCCGCCAGGCGCACGGTGAGGTAGACGCCCAGCACGTGCGGCACAAAGGCCGGCAACCAGACCATGCCCATCTCCCACTCGGACGCCGCCATAGTGTGCTTCATCCATGTGGCGATGGTGGGCTCAAGGAAGGCAAGGGGGATGTTGCAGGTGGTGAGCGCACCGGCCACCACTGCGATGTAGGGATCCAGCATGAGACGGTGAATGGGAGTGCCCACGGGCAG